TCTGAACCAGCTCTCCGACCTTGCAGCCCCCGGCGTTGGCACCAATCCCAAGGGCGACTACTTCACATGCAAGGTAAACCGCTGCTTCAGTCTAGCGCCTGCGTCTGATTCTTAGGACATACCGCCGCTTCTTTAGATCCACAGATTTTCTAGCAGTCGTGAATTGTGCCTGAATGTGTTATTTTGGGGTGCCGGCTAATGCAGATTCTGCTTCGATCTGCTACCACACGCAAGGAACAGTGTCACGGCGACCAGAAATTGACGCAAGTGCACTAGCTGTAGGGGATCTCATTCACGTGAAGGTGTCATATTAGACATATCGAGAGGGAGCCATTGTGGCCTGTGTGTGGCAGCCGTCCAAACAGCAGGTTTTGGTCGTTTTAATGGTCCTCTGGTTGTCTATAATGTGACTACTAATCGTTGCATCCAGGCCTGAACATCCTCACTCTTTTCCTTCCAAAATTAGTTCTCAACCCGTGTCGAGCCGACTGGTGATAAGATTGAGTGGAGTGGTTAACCTGGTAGAAGCCCAAATTATGTAATGTTTGCGTATTGATAAACAGCCCACCCTGATGTACGTTCTCCATCTGTGACATAATGCTTCCTATTGCCCATATGGAATTCTAATGTGCCCTTTTTGTTCCGCCAGGCTACGGTATCCTTTATGAAGAAGGAAAACTTTATGTATCAGGCCTGTCCCACCGAAGGTTGCAACAAGAAGGTTATCGATATGGGCAATGGTCTCTACAGGTGTGAGAAGTGTGCCCGTGAAACTCCCAGCTACAAATGGAGGCTCCTTCTGTTGGTACGTTCGTGCCCGCTTTTAATATGCATAACCCCCTACCCCCTGGGGCCTGTTCAAACTATAATTTTTTATTCTGTAGGCTAAAATTGCTGACATGAGCGGTGAGCAGTGGATCACCTGTTTCCAGGATACGGCAGAAGCCCTTCTTGGACGAAGTGCCGATGATCTGGGTGCAATGAAGGATGCTCAGGTATGTTGCCTCCGGTCATCCTCTATCGTTTACCGTGTTTCAGACGAGCGATAGCTTTATTGCTGTTTCCTTTGACCGGGTGCAATTCGTCGGCTTCCATGGTATCCAGATGCTGTCGGTCTTAAAACAACAGTCTTCAATTTATTGATCAGCAGATGGCGTAGAAAATTGCTCTATTGACGTCACATGAATTTAAAATTCATCCATACTCCGTCTAGACCAGCTGATGATAAAAAAAATATAACGGTTTGAGAGACACTGCATTTTTCGATATCACTTCCCGATTAGCCTATCTACAAAATAATGCATTTCTGCTACGCAGTCTGGACAAACAGGCTCTTGACATTTTCGCGTATTTCCCACCTCAAATGACGGGCCGTGGGCTGTAGCGAAGGTGCTAAACTGGTTGACTCAGGGTTATTCCCTGACCAACTGGTTTAGGTCCAAATATCGGACGCCAGCTGGTGCCTGTAGTGTGATGTGACTGGTGACGGAAATGCGCTAGAAAATCTCGCTTCCTTGTGTGTTGATTATTGCTTGCCAGACGCGGATAGACGCATCAATATGATCGAGTTTTCTGTAGCCTACGAGCAGGCTCACGCGAAAAAGCCTGAAAACTGTACGAACGAAATCAGTTTTTATTCTGTCCATTTCTGCCCTTTTCATCACTTCCTATTTCCTTCAGGATGAAAGCCAGTTAGATGGCGTCTTCGTTGGGGCCTCTTTCAAAACGTGGATTTTCCGACTTCGTGCCAAGATCGACAATTTCAACGTAAGATTTTATAATTTCGGCTGGGTTTTTTATTGCTGGTGCAATTTCAAGTTCCACATGTTCAGTTGCAGAAAGTACATGTGAGAATTTCGGTCCAAATTTTGCAAGTTAGGGAATCTACGCATTTGTTTTTTTATCAACTCGCGACCCGGCGTAGGTGTCCTGCCATTTTGTGCACAGTTCTGGTGATAGTCTAGCAGGTGTTTCAAAAGCTGATGGCCAAATCTTTTGCCTGCCAATGTTTTACCTTTTTCACCCGTCTTTTTATTTTCTGGTTGTAGGACGAATCAAGACTACGAGTTGTAGCGATGGAGGCGAAACCAGTGGTGTATGCCGACTACGCGAAACAGCTCCACAAACTGATAGATGCCCTCATCCCCACCCTGCCTGCTGAGTTGACATCTGACGAGCCCTAATTATGGAAGATTCACTTGTCCCGACTATATCCTGACTCAACCCTCGTGCATTTTACAATCTCACTGTCAGTCCCGCCCCCGTTCCCTTCAAATTTCACAGAGAGTCATCGTGCCTTTTGTATCTCATACTGTATGAAGTCTGTATCACTTTATTAAGAGCATTTTATAAATAGATTTTTATCAAACCTCGGCTTTGTATCTAGTATACTCGCGTGATCGCCGAACGCGATTCTATCCTTGATTTCCAGGTGGACCGCTGCTTCTTGTCCAGCCAGAAAAGTTTCGTCTTCCTAACTGCGCATAGTTTTGAACTTGAAAATAGTTTTGGTCAGCCTGCTTACAGTCATAGATACTGTACCCCGTATTCCCATCACTGTTACTAGTCCGAAACCCGCTGCGTATGCTTCGTTGATTTTGTTCAGCTCTTCAATGAGTATGACAGCATTCGCCCTGTTCACTTGCGTAGATACCCCAGTTTTTAATGTCCAACTTCCTCCAGAAAGCAGGCTGCTCAAAGGCCTTTCCTGCTGTGTGTGGGTTCGACTCCCACCGAGGCCACCGCGAATTTGTCAGAATTAGGTCAACTGAACTTGGAATAAATTCTCATACACAAACCTCAGGCTCTGTCCGGAAATTGAAGTGTACTAGCTGGGCTGGAGCCTGTCAACTTAGGTGATGGATCCCTCGCCGCTGCATCACGCGGCAACATGAAATGTTGCTGGTAAATCTGTTGGCTGATGACTGCCTGTTTTAGCCAAATGTGATCATTTCATGGTCATTCATCTAACCTTCCGGAACGAGCCTAAAGGTTCGCCCCCGCTGTTTATCCGAATCTCTTGCAACAGCACAAAATTGGTGCAACATGCGTATTTCAGCCTCCAGATGGTACTCGTGCTGCGCCCTCTGGTATCTTGACACCGCGCTCAGGGCGGTAGGGAGTGGAACGGAGTGTGAGGTCGATGCATGGAAAATCACAGTCCCTGTACTATGTTGCTGTGGACCACACGGTGGACCCCTTCGAAAATGACGGTCGAACTGTCGATACATAAGTTGGTATTTATCCCCTACAGACTGCTGGGATGTGCTTACTATGTGGTCATTCCGCTGAAGCTGGCGGATTGTATTTACCTTTTCGAATTGTGTCTGATAAGATTTGCGCCGAGTAATTTACTCCAAGTTTCTCACTGCTTTCTGGTGGAAACCAGTCAATACTTAGCAAATCTCGCGCCTAAGGAAAACATTAAGTGAATACCGACATCAAGATTCCCTCCCTGGACATGTATATTAGACTATTATTCGGCTTGGTTGATTTTACATGCCACAATCGATTGCGCTGGTAACGTTTCTCAAATGTGGAAACCCAAGATTCCCGGTCGGGAGTTTGTGGCCCTAAGGGTTACGTCCTTGTCTGTCGGTCAGTAGTTCAGGTATGGCTGGCCGAACAATATCCAACAGTTCACGCAAATGGGTGTGCGCTATGTCGTTTCGCAAGGCCCATTCACGTAACGACTGAACGTAGCTGTTAGGTGACGATTGCAAGCTACCTGCCTCCATGGTTTCCTCGTCTCCTGCAAGAACCCATTCGACGTCGCTTACTTGCTTCAAAAAGCGCTGACCTCCCTTGTCCTGCACCTAGCGTCAAATCCTCGGCTTCGCGTCTCATCTTGATGGCCTCGTCCATGCCCGAAGTTCCTGGTTCAAATACCTCTTAAAATGGCGTCTTCGTGTACTCCCCGATTCCCCCTTAAATATTGTTAACGAAAGCAGTAGAATAAGAAATATTATAGGCGATAACAATATAAATATTATGCAATATCAGGCTGAGTCAGATCGCTTTTGCGGATGCCGTCGCACGCCGTCCACGTCAAATAATGGCGATTATTTTGAGTTGACCCAAGTGTGAAAAACTAGGCGTTTGGCGGGATTTGAACACGCGCATCAGAGAAAGCCTTTGCCGGA